AGAGCCGGCGGTTGGCTCAGCCTTAGGCAGCGTTCACACTTGTAGCGCTACAGCGTCGCGCTACAGCGTCGCGCTACTGCGTCGCGCTACAGCGTCGCGCTACAGCGTCGCGCTACAGCGTCGCGCTACTGCGTCGCGCTACAGCGTCGCGCTACAGCGTCGCGCTACAGCGTCGCGCTACAGCGTCGCGCTACAGCGTCGCGCTACAGCGTCGCGCTACAGCGTCGCGCTACTGCGTCGCGCTACAGCGTCGCGCTACAGCGTCGCGCTACAGCGTCGCGCTACAGCGTCGCGCTACAGCGTCGCGCTACAGCGTCGCGCTACAGCTGTAGCGCTACAGTTGTACCGAACTCCAGCTTTTATGTTTTTTCTTTCTATATCATCCTCTTCTCTTTGTTTCTCATATTTATCTGATAGTGAGCTCCTGTTTTCTACTTTATCACATTTTAATGTAGTTTTTGATACAGAAGACTGTGATAATTGGTTTTATTTATCGTTTTTGACTTTAATTATTTGGTTTCACAGTTGCTTGATGTTTGATGGCTTTGCTTGATGTCTTGCAGTGCTGCCTCGTTTTGATCCCGATTGCGAAACTACATTAAAATGTGATAAAGTAGAAAACAGGAGCTCACTATTAGATAAATATGAGAAACAAAGAGAAGAGGGTTGAATACAGAAAGAATGAATACAGAATCCAATGCCGCTTATGGATTATGGAGCGAAATCTGCTTTTCGAATTTGCCCCCAATCTCTGCCTGGATCACAGGAAAAAGATTCATGCCGGTTTTCGAGGCATTACCCAACAAAGCTTTGACAGTTTCTTGTACTTTTTTTGGCCCAGGAGCGTAAAAATGGCCTTATCTCCCACAACAGGCACGCGAACACTGTCTGGTCACCAATGCGTTAACACAAGGCAAACAAGAAGTTCCTTTATGGTTCTTCTGTCTCCGGTAAAAAACATGCGTGCGTGTTTTTAGGTGGCGCGAGTACTCTTTGGGTGTTTTTTGCAGAAAATGCTCTTAATAGGACAGAAGGACACTGTTACGCTAAAAGCAGTACCAGAAAAGTAGTGACTAATGGAGTAACTGTCAAGGATGGTCAGATATTAGGTTGGCTAATAAGTAATGGCGGTTTTTTTCAATTGAAAAATTTGTTCCAAAAGTGAAAAGTTTTGCAAGCAAGCTTAATATCGTTTAATAGCAAACTTCTCGTAGTATTAGAATATCAAATTCATATTCAATTAATTCAACTATTAGCATGAAATTTCTAAATAGAGGCAGTTGTCGAAGGTGCTAATTTTCGGCGACTTCATCCAACTTCAACGACTGAAAAATCCACAAAAACTATATCCTCAACCAAAGCTTTTTTGATATTCTTATACTAAGAGAAGTTTGCTATTAAACGATATTAAGCTTGCTTGCAAACCAGTTCACTTTTGGAACAAATTTTTCAGTTGAAAAAAACGGCCATTACTTATTAGCCAACCTAATAGTTACAGCTGCATCAGTCTCACCTTTCCGTGAATTTCTCAAGAAAACTCCAGCAACCTTCCCACTTTTCTCTATAAGCAACTCTAATCATCCTAACGTTGGAAATTGCAGTACGTTGCGAAGCGGTGCTGTAGCGCTACGGTGTAGCGCGACGCTGTAGCGCTACGCTGTAGCGCGACGCTGTAGCGCGACGCAGTAGCGCGACGCTGTAGCGCGACGCTGTAGCGCGACGCTGTAGCGCGACGCTGTAGCGCGACGCTGTAGCGCGACGCAGTAGCGCGACGCTGTAGCGCGACGCTGTAGCGCGACGCTGTAGCGCGACGCTGTAGCGCTACAAGTGTGAACGCTGCCTTATGGGTGTGCGCGTTTCCTCCAGAGTAAGACTCAGTTGAGAAATGCTCAACAAGAAGGGCGGGGGGAGGGGGTGGGCGTATTCGAAATGCTCTGGACATGGGAGCGTATGCGTTGTTTCCCGATGAGGAGCTTCACGCGTGTCCCCTGCTCTTTTTGAGCTTACAGTTTGAGGGAAAATCACAGGGCGCGCCGTGCGTTGGGGATTTCCAGCGAGGGGGGTCTAATTGGTTACTCGGGTAATGGGGTCGTATTTTCTCCGAGAAATGCTTTGGGATGCTGACTTTCCACAATTTGCTCTTTCGAGTGGGATATGCACCACCTTATCCCTCCCTCTCGCTCTACGACAGTTGAAAGTTTCTGGAAAAAAGGCCGGAAAAGTGGCAGGAAGTTAGGGAAATTTAGGGAGACAATAGGTGGGAGGGAAAAGGGAGGGGTGTCATGTAAGGGGAGGCAAAATCCGATGCAGAACGGTCCCTATATTGCAAAAACTTTTCCTAACGGCAGTGCTCAGAAGAGGCATTGCCGAGATAGAGGGGACGATAGTGCTAAATGTCTTCCCTAAACACATGGCGCGCGTTTCGCTCGTATCCAGGTCGGAATCCTCGTTTAGCTTTCATGCCAGTGCTGATCCCTAATCAGTCCCAGGGGATAGAAAGAGCCAGTCTGGGCCTGAGGCCAGGAGCCCGTCACTGACATACGGTACTGGAAGGGACCTTCCAAGTTAACAAAAAAAATAGATGGACCCACTTGTGATTACAAGACCTTTTTCGTCGGTATTCGTTGACTCGGAAACGGTAGTGACTGTCTCTGTCGTTGTCTCTTCAGAGGCCTCAGCGGCTTCTTTGTAGAACGCAGGACATTCATCAAATCGTACACAGTCAGAATTTCGCCAATCTGTTGAGTTCAAGAATACCAAGCCTAAACAGGTGCAGTTCAATTAGTCTACAGAAAAATCCGTGCAGTCAGACGCGGGGTTGGCCAGGGGGCTGAGTTTGGAGCAACGCCAGGCTGTTCTCCGCCATTTGTTGAAACGAGCAAGCGACAACAATCGGTGGAAAGCCGGCTGACGCAACCCCCCCACCTGACACGCCCCAGCGTCTGCATGGAGAACAACTGCCCATCAGTAACTAATTCCTTTTATTTCTTGAAATGTTTTCGAAACAAATGTCAGCTCATACCGTTTTTACAGAAGCATCCGGATTCACAAGGTGTACAACTTTGTGGCCGTCGATTATCGCAGCCAACTGGACATGACGAGCCGCAGACGATGAATTCCTGCAGAGGAATAGGCGATTTTGTAAAGCACTGCTTGAACAAGGAAGAAAGGAACGAGGAGAATGCACTTCAGACGATGAAGTTCTTTGGAGCGCGCCATGCATTTTACTTTTGCTTTACATTGTTTATATTTCACTTGTGGGCGAATTCGTCTGGAACAGTGACTGAACTACAGTGGCAAAGAGATAGCTCTAACTAAAGAGTAGGCTTGTATGAAACTAAATTGCTTGAGAACTCGTTACCGAATATTTGTAACGGGCGATATATCACGGGTGGACACGGGTGAGCGCTGTTACCCCTTTGTTGACCCCCCTCCCGAACATAAATACCACCCTAGCTTTACAGGATCTGGCGCATTAGCTGCATTCCATAACCCGGGGATAGAAAGGATGTGGCTGCTTGCTTCCTTTGAACGTGGCGGCGGCTGGCAGCGGCTGGGAATTGGGTAAGATCCTGCCGTTCTGGGACCAATGTGATCATATCCTTGCCCAGCACAAAACAGGAGGACAGCTGCCTATAGGACGAAAAGGGCAGCCTACGTCATGTTCAAATGAAGTGTGCAACCAGGTTCTCCCTGCCTCCATATCTGGCCTGGGCCGCGAGTGCCAGACCCTTGAGCATCGAGCGAAATTGTTCAGAGGAACACCGGAAATAACGTTTCGTTGAAATATACCCCAAAGAAATAATTTTGATCAAAATGTGACCTGAATTTCGAATGGTAGAAGGGGGGTGACCAGTGCCAAAGTTTGAATAACAGTTCGAAAGCTTCAGGATAAAGCTATCGTTTAGCCTGTTCATGGGATATGCCACGCTTCCTATTCCCATCCAGAATTGCACATGCAGACCAGGAATCGTGACTGCATGAATTTGCCAACAAAACGTATCAGAAAAATCAGGAAAAGGCGCAGTTTGGCTCCTTCAGCTCGGTGGGGGTAATTCTTCTGCCTACTCTGATTATTTCCAATGCCTTACATGGAACCTGTGAGTTCTTGTAAAGCTATGCAATAGCATGTTTTTCGTTCGTACTTAACAAGAGTCTACAGGTTTAACTGTAACTTTTGCTATTTTGTTTTTAAAACAGGGTAGCAAAAGAGCGGAAACCTTCCCACCCCCCAAGCCGAACAACGTCTCGGAATCTGCACTGCTTGAATGGTCAAATGAACGCTGAAGTGATAAGAAACTATGCTTCATTTGATCCTTTGGATCAGTTCTTACCTTAAGTGGATCACTGCACTTCCGTTCACATTCTGATGGTAGCACACACCGCGTTAAGGGGTCCATTGGATCCTGAAATCAACTTTTCAACAAATTAAGAGGTTTTTCGCTAATTTCGCGTTTAGCACTTGATTATACTTAAAAACAGTCCCATAACTCTATGAGCTAATCCAATGCTAACTATTGTGGAATCCCGAAGCTGAGACAACGTGGGAATACCTCCTGAAAACGAAACGATTATTTATGCCACGCTGGAGCGCACAATAAACCAGGGAGTGATACGGCGCATTATAGCGAGCGTGTACTACACCTGCCCCACGCAACGAGGTGGTCGCTTCCCAGCTCCGTATCGCAATCTTCGAGCGACACGGCGTTTCATGAAGCGTAGAGAAACTTTGTCCATTCCACACTTGAATTAGCCTAATATGCTTCTTGAGTACTTTCCAGGACCGTACATTTTACGATCAAGACTGTTTACAACTCTCGCTCTGTTTCTGACATGATAAAGGTGTGGCAAAAATGCAAGTGACGGCACGTGGCTCGTTGTGATACATTCTAGGGTTTTGCCGTAGTTTCATGCAGCGTATCGTTTGAAGCGCTATTTTTTACGGTCTAGTGCGACATCTTACCTCGTGCTCTGTAAATTTCCAGAAACACGCTTTCGGGCGGCTGTTTGGTCGACGGCGGGCATTTTTTACTACCATTTGCTTCCCTAGTTCCGGTTCACAAATCTCACCCTGGTAAAACTTGTGAACCCTTGTGAAGCTGGTGCAGGATCGTCTAGCCACCATCCTAAAACGTGTCAACTCGAGAAAAAGGCTACCTAGGTGGGGTCGGCACATCTATGGGGCAGAATGCCCCCCGCCGTCGACAACTGCGCCGGACCTCGTGTTCTTACGTTTTCAGACACCTTTCGGACATGGAATACACATATCCCATAAAAACAGATGAAATTACTGATTATCATGTAAACTGATGGCAAAATTGTCGACACACCCTGTGGACCTTATCATTGCCATCTGCTCAAGCGCCATATAAAATCCTGGTAAACGCTATTTTACTGCGCCTTAGAAGGCGTCGCTACAGTAGTAAACGAAATTTTTCCGTCAGATTTTGAAAAGAGAAACAAACAAAAAGCAGAGTGGTAAGCAGTAGAATGTGCAGTAGAAATGGATTTTAAGAGGATACATTGACGAATGTCGGGCGCATATTAAGTATGTCATTGGAAGTCGGTTCCGGCGCGGCTCCATCCCGTTCTCCACCATGTGGTGAAGCGAGCGACAAAAGTGGGTGAAAAACGGGGTGAGCGGCGCAAAACCCAGCCCTACGACAGTCCCCTGCATACGCAGTGAGCAAGACTATAAGTTCGCAACCAACGGTCGTAATGGGGACCCCGGGATGAAACGAGAGAAGTGATCTATTCGAACTCCAGGACTGTCAGGAGGCAAAAAAACAGTAACGGTTACCATTTTGATTGACTCTGCGATTGAAGTCCAAATATTAAAGCAGTAAAAAGTAAGAGATATGAGCCGACGTTTTCGTTTTTGTAAGGATTACTTCTGGGAGTATACATCAAATAATGTAAAATGACCTACCTGGAGCACGTACGGCTCCCGACAAACACATCCTGCTGCACAAAGACCGGCTTCGCATCGTCCCAGAGGATTTGTACACGAGTCGAAAGCCGCATTCTTGAAGTGAAGGACCCTTCACCTTGGCACCTCGATGGCCTAATGAAGTATGAGACACAGGTAGAAATTTTGGCAGAATTCCAGACAAATGGCTGACCCTAGTGCTCCACAACTTGTCCATTCTTTTCTCGGATCAGACGAGCCAAAATGGGTGATGAGGTGCGAGAGACAATGCAATTGGCAGTACGCAGCCAACTGTGGGTCCCTGACTAGGTTGTCTTTAGTACTAAAAGGGCTCATACAAACGATTTCAAACCTTAGCGTCCACAAGAATGTAAGGGGACCGGCAAAAGCAGCCTGACACACATGCAAGACTACAGGTTGCAGACGGATTGAGATCGTTAACATCCAACTGGAAAACCACAATAACATTTTCTTGAGGCATTTAGAAAAGGGTATTTGAATACCGTCAATGATTACAATAGACAGTTCACATGTGAATTTTTAATTGGCTCAGTGCGTCTTGAAAGGGGGATCAGTGCGTACGATAACCAGATTGTGCCAGGTCATCTTGGAAAAAACGCCGTGATTTTTCGGAACCAATCTGGCTCACTTTACAAAATTTCGTAGCTTCACAGGACTTGACGGGTTTCACCAAAATGACACCTGGTACTTAACATGAATTAGCAAGATAAACTTGTGAAAGTGCAAAATGTCCCTCCTGAGCCGAATAGCGCCTTTTTATTCTTGAACTAAGTAACAACTTTCGAATTAACCCGTAAAAGACTCACCAGGACACTTCGTTCCACAATTCAGATAGTTTTTCAATGGATCACTACAGCGATTTGTCTCTGGTAGTACGGTGGCTGCACCAGTTGCGGCTGCACCAGGTGGTAGTATGGCATCTCTACCAGGTGTCGGATAGAATTCGCTCATTGTTTTCTGAAGCCAGATCTGTAGCAAAAAATATTTGCAATAGTCATAAGAGCAATAAAACTAAACAGACAGTCCAGACAAAGGCGCCTGACCATAAGCGCACGCGTTATTGTGACGATGGAGGGGGCAGGGATAGCAAAGGCAAGTTAGGCGAGAGGCGAGTGCTCAAAAGCTTCGTACCTTTCTCACTGACGCATCCCTCGTATCCAAAACTTCAGAAGTGGAGAGGGCGCTACGCTTGTCAGTCTCCGCCCATTCGATTACCGCGGAATGTGCCCTCAACGACCCTGTGGTATTCCATTATGGGTGCGAGCATTTCAGGAAGAAGAAACCTTATAGAAGGGCAACCGGAAATGTGGGAATATTATTATGTTATATGTGGGAAGAACTGAAATTATCGCAACCCAAAGGAATATTGCACCAATAAAACTGCACCATCAGTGAATTGAAGTATCGCCAAAAGCCTCCTGATCGGTGAAACGAGTTGATTTTAGCCGCAGGTGCCCTCTGCCGAAAAAGGTATTAAGGAAACCGAAATGCCCTACTTTCTGCATTGGAGGGCGAATTGGAAAGCGAACGAAACTAGAGGAATCTCACACAGAATGAATGGCTCC